AGCCTGCTTCTCCCTCTCCCACTCCCCCTGCTTGTGTTCCTGCTCTCGCTGTCTCTCTCTCTGTCAAATAAATAAAATCTTTAAAAAAAAAAAAGACTGTATTATAGTATTAACAATATTTTATTTGATAATCATTTAATGAGTCAGTCTCTCATATATACTACTTTTCTAGTCTGTAACATATCTTAATTTGTCCTCCATCAATACTAAAAAGAGTCTATCATATATGGCAGAGAAAAAGCTTGTTGTGTCAATGGACTAGTGAATCAATAAAGAAAAAGTTTTGGATATATAAACTATACTGTCATAAGATGAGTAATTGCTTTAGAAGAAGTAGTTGGAATATTAAACTAGTCATTTATTTATTAATTCAACAAATATATATTAAGCATCACTATATATCAGGTACATTACAACCACTAAGAATGCTACAATGAGCAAAAAATAAATAAATAAATGTTCTCATGTGGCTTTACATTCTAGAGGGAGAGATAAAAAATAAAAAGAAAAGAAAAAGAAATAAACAGAATAAAAAGATAAGTAAAACATCAGATAGTACATTAGGTAGTGATAAATCCAAAGAGAAAAACAGCGAAAATAGGTATAAGAAATTTCGAGGAAGAGGGGATTGTAAGATGATAGGAAACAAAATATAAAACATTTTGTTTTTTAAATATGTCATCTACCCTCATTCCTTTTCCCACGCATAATTTAGCACTAAATTCCTAAAATTGTATTGTCTTAATTAATATACCTCAAGATCTTCCCTTTCTATCCGATCCTCAAAGCCACTGCCCTTGGCCAGGCCACCATCTTCTTGTCCTGAGTTACTCTAACAGCCTCTTCCAAATGGGCTTCCTATCATGCCTCCCACCAACTCACACTCCACCTCACAAGTGACTTTCCTGTCACTCTTCTGCTTAAAATCCTTCAATGGCTCCTCATCACTCTTAGGGTAAAGTTCAAATTTCTTCATATAACCCACAGGTCTCAAAACACTCTCAACCCTGCTTACCACTCCAGCCTCACTGCCCATCACTTAGCTGCACCAAAACTCTGCTTTCTCAAATATTCCATGCTTTTGATCTAAACTTAGGTTTGGAATTCTGCCCCCCAGTGTTCTCTTTTGGTTAAATCTTATTTACAGTCATGCATCTTTTGAGATTTCACTTCATCCCCATACTCTGCCTTCCCAATTACCATACACCACCTGAATCATACCATTTCTCACACTGTACACTGTTTTCTCAGCTATGTGTATCACAAGCCAGCTGCAAGCATCATGAGTACACATTTCCCATGCATGTTGTGCACTGTTTTTTGTTTTGTTTTGTTTTTAAAGATTTTATTTATTTATTCGACAGAGAGAGACACAGCGAGAGAGGGAACACAAGCAGGGGAGTGGGTGAGGGAGAAGCAGGCTTCCTTGCGAGCAGGGAGCCAGATGCGGGGCCCGATCCCAGCACCCTGGGATCGTGGCCTGAACCAAAGGCAGACACTTAATGACAGCCACCCAGGCACCCCATGTTGTGCACTGTTTTATCTCGATATTGGTGCTCAAAATTTTGTACTGATTTACATTAAATTGTATTGAATTGGCCAAAAGTTTCAGTGGATAAAAATAAACCATAACAGAAGCAATAAATACAACTTCTTTAGATACAATACCAGATCATTTGGGAGATTATTTAAAATGAATTTCTGTCCAATGGCGCCAAAATCATTTGGGAAGAATGAAGTCTTTGCATCATGAATGAAAATCTTTGTAGCTCATTCTGCTCTACTCTGCAGCCCTTTGCAGACAAATACACTGTAGCGCAGGTCTATAGGCTTAATGGTTTCATACTGCTTTGATATTTTTAAAGATTTTTTTTTTAGTTTTTAAACAACAATAATAAAAACCCTGAATTTCCTCATGAAAAATAAATTTTCAAAGCCAAATAATATTATAACACTAGGCTGAATTCAAAAACTTGTGCTGGGAAAAGTATTTGGGCCAGAAATTGTGAGACCTCAGCGTCTTCTATGCGTAGGACACAGAACCTGTCCCTTCATGGAGAAAGGGATTGGGAATCACTCACCTGAAGTAACCAATGATGAGAATAGCCACAGCCAAGGAACCAAAGGAGACAGAATATCCGATTGTGTACATGACATAGAGGCGTTCAAAGAATTCTTGCTGAAGGGGAAGAGATTTAATTAGAAAAATAGCTTTTAACAAGTAGATGTAGATAAAAATCATGCTTCTTCCTGTTTAGAGACAGGCAGTGTGTTATCACATTTATATAACATAGATTATTCATCCGGCCTTTCTTTTATTTCCTAAATTCCAGTCAGAGGGTTTGGGGTTTTTTTTTAAGATTTTATTTATTTTTTTTGAGACAGAGGGGGGGGGCATGAACAGGAGGAAGGCACAGGGAGAAGCAGGCTCCCCGCTGAGCAGGGAGCCCCACACAGGACCCTGAGATCATGACCTAAGCCGAAGGCAGACACTTAACCAAATGAGCCACCCAGACACCCCTCAAGTCAGAGTTAAAGATGTAATAATAATAATAATATTCAGCATTTCTTGCTTAAGTGAGGTCAAATTAAATGTTGCAATATTTATTTCGTGAATTTTTGTGCTGTCCATTTTAATTAATTGGAATTGTATACCTAACGTGATAGTTGAAGTAAACAAAACGTGTTACAGGGCTATTGTAAGAGGAAACTAGTAAAAACAATATGTCATTTTTGGAATATTATTTCTAGTTTTCCTTAAGTTTTTTATTGAGCTGTAATTTACATGAAATAAAATATACAGGTCTTAAGTGAGCACTTTGATGGGCTTTGACAAGCCATGTTTGCTGTGCAACTTGCCAGCCAAAAAACCACCCACCATTCACTCCCAGGTAACTTCTGTTCCAATTTCTGTCACCACAAATTGGGATCATCTGTTCTTGTACTTCATGTACTTTTTGACTGTTCTTAGACTTCTTAGAATTAGATAGTATATACTTAGTATATACTCTTTTTGTCAACATACTGTTTTTGATATTCACCAATATAGTTACATGAATCAATGGTCCATTCCTTTGTAATTTTTAAAAGAAATTATAAATTCACAAGAACTGGAAAAGACAGTAAAAAAGTGCCATTTATCCTTCACCCAGTATTCTCCAATGGTTACATCTTAACATAATTATACTAAAATATCAAAGGCAGAAATTTGACATGGTGCACTTTGTGTGTTTATAGTTCTGTGTCATTTTATCACATATGTAAATTTTTGTAACCAGCACTTCAATCAAGATACAGAACCATTGTACACCACCTTCAAGACCTACCTTGTGCTGTCCTTTAAAGTCACCCAGAGACCCCTCTTCCCCAGCATCCCTGACACCTAGCAACCATTAATGTTTTCTACCTCTATAATTTTGTCACTTCATAAGTGTTATAGAAATGGAATCATACAGTATGTGACCTTTTGAGATTGGCTTTTTTCACTCACAATAATGACCTCAAGATACATTCAAGCTGTTGTATAGATCAAGTTTATTCTTTTTTATTGCTGAATAGTATTGCATGGTATGTATGTAACCTATGTATATCAGTATATATAAAATGTTTCAAACTTTGTAGACAGCTTACATTTGGGTCACATTTTTTTTATAAAGATTTTATTTATTTATTTGCCAGAGAGAAAGAGAGAGAGCACAAGTAGGGGGAGCAGCAGGTAGAGGGAGAAGCAGGTTCCCCGCTGAGCAAGGAGCCCAATGTGGGACTCGATCCCAGGACTCTGGGATCATGACCAGAGCTGAAGGCAGACGCTTAACCAACTGAGCCACCCAGGCATCCCTTGGTTCACATTTTTTAATAAATTTTTCAATCTCTGTTAATTGGTATAATTAGACCATTTTTTTAAATATAATATTGATATGTTAAGGCTAAGTCCATCATTTTATTTTTTTATTTTCTATTGTTCTATTTTTCATTTCTCTGTTTAATTTTTCCTGCCACCCTGTGGGTTACTTGAACATTTTGTGGAATTCCATTTTGATGTCCCTTTTTATATAGTGCTTTTGGTGGTTGATCTATGTATTACATTGTACAGCTTAATGCAGAACCTTTGATTACTGAATGCTTACCTTTCTTCTTTTCTAATTAAGCATATAATTAAGTTATATTTAATCAAGCATATGATAAGCTATAAATCTCCTTCAAGCTCTGCTTTTGTTGTTTCCCCCAATTTTTTGATATATTCAACTTTCATAATTATTCAGTTCAAACTTTTGCCATGGATGGCATATATTCCAACAATTTGTGAATTGTCCACATATTTTATTTCAATTGATCTTCAATTAATTCTTTTGTGGTCAGAAAATACACTCTGTGTGATTTTAATCTTGAGGTTTATTGACACTTGTTTATAGTCCAGCATATGTTCAATCTTGAAGAAGCTTTGATGTATAATTTAAAAGAATGTGAATTTTGTAGTGTTTGTATTCTATAAGTGGCATTTTCGTCAAATTGTGTGAAAGGTTATCCTATGGAAGTTTTTGTCTAATTGTTTTACCAATTACTAAGAGAATGGTATTTTTATATATTTCAACGTGGTGGGATTTGACCATGTCTCCCTTTTGCTTTGACAATTTTTGCGTTATGCAATATGAAGCTCCTAAATGCATGCATATTTAGGATCATTATTTCTTTCTGGTAAATGGATTCTTTTACCATTCTGATATGTCCCTCCAACTTAGTAATACTCTGTCTTGAAGTCTACTTAGCCATTTCTTATGCTTAGGGTAAGCACTGCATATAACTCATCCACCCTTTTAATTTCAACAAATCTATTACCTTCACATTTATCTGTATCTTTATATTTAGAGTACATTTCTTGCAGACGGTATATACTTAAGTTACACATTTATTACCCATTCTGTCTTTTAAGTGATTGTTTAGTTCATTTACATTGAACACAATCATTGCTATGTTGGGCTTAAATATAACACATTGGTATTAGCATTCTATATGTCCAGTCTTTGTTCCTTTGTACCTACTTCCTTACCTTTTATTTGGGGTGTGGTGTCAATTAAGTATTTCTTAATCTTTCACTTGTGTTAATTTTTAGAAATTATGCATCCTGAACTTATCAGAGCCTCCACTTAAATAATATTGAACTATTTCACAAACTACATAAAGAGTTTACAAATGTATATTCAGTTTTGCTTCCCAGCCTTTGCCCTTTTAGATTTTGTCTACATAGTGCTCACTTCAGCAGCACATATAATAGATTTTGTCTACATAATTTATAAACCTTAGTAAGAGACTACTATGTTTGCTTTAAGCAGTCAATAGACTTTTAAATGAATTATAAAGATATAAAGATAGATATAAGTACAGTAGTAAATAAGGATGATAAGAATACAGTTTTGTTTACTATTTTAGCCTGTCATTTTTATTCATATATATATATATATGTATACATATATATATACCCATTCTGGTCTTCCTCATTCCTTCCTACTAATCTATGTTCCCATCTGGCATATTTCTCTTTGACCTAGAGAACTTTCTTGAGCATTTCCTATACTAAAAGTATGATGAAGATGAATTCTGTCATATGTTTTCTGCCTGAAAAGTATCATTATTTTCCCTTTATCTTTATGCATATTATCACCTTAAAGATGTCATCCCATTATATTCCAGCCTCCATTGTTTCCTGACTAAAAGGCAGACATCTTTTTTATTGCTGTTCCCTAATATGCCCTTTTTCTCTGTCCACTTTTAAGTTTTCTTTTGACTGTGACTTACAGCAGTTTAACTATGATATATCTAAGTATGATTTTCTTTTAATTTATCCTGCCTTGGGTTTGCTAAATTTCTGGAATGTATAGGTTGATTTATTTCATCCACTTAGAAAATTCTTGGCCATTGTCTCCTCAGATATTTATTTTGTTCAATTCTCTCTCTTTACCTCTAATTTCACATGTGTTAGACAATTACATGTTATCTCATAAGCCTCAGATGCTTCCGTTATTTTAATTTATTTTTTCTCCTAAATAAATTAAAATATTTATTAATATTCAGTTGGAAAATTTCTATCGACCTCTCTTTAAGGGCATTAAATCTTTATCATGCTATATCTAGTATGCTATTGAGCATATTAAATGAATTCTTCATTTTGGAATTGAATATTTCAATTTTAGAATTTCCATTTTATTATTTTTTGAAGTTTTTCTCTGATTTTCCCATCTGTTTTATGTACCTTTTTCACCAAATCATCTAACATATTAATAATAGTTATTATTAAGTACTTATCTGCGAATTCTAACATCTGGATCATCTAGTTTTTTCTGCTCTTATTTTTACTCCAGATTTTGGGTCCTTGCCTTGTAATTTTGTATCACATTCCAGGTCCTGTAAGTAAAAGAACAGTAGAGACTAAAGTGTATGATGTCAACTGCCTGAAAAGGCAGACCTCTTCCTTCCTCAGGTTTCTTGGGTAAGGAAGCTGGATTACTCTGTTGTTAAACTAAGTTGAGCTTTGTTGTAGTTTTTATTTTATGTTTTTTGTGATCCTGGTTTTGCGTTTTGAGAGCAGAATCAAGACTTGTACAGCTGACCTCGAGATTTTAGCACTAGCAGCCTCTAGTGGCCATTATGTGGATTTTAGTCCCCCTGACATTTTCCAAGCCATAGCACTATTGCTGCTATTTAAACTATCCATCAGTTTTTTGAGTTGCTAGGGATTTTACTTTGCTTTCCTGCTCCTCCCAGGCATGCGGGCTGTAGCAATCATGCCCCATGAGCCTTAAAGTATGTCTCTCAGCTCCGCTGCTCTGTCCCATGACTTTGGCCAACTGCCGCCTTTCACTCTGAGAGTACTTTGCACCTCTTGGGAAATTTCTCTTAGCCCACCTGTGCTGTCCCCAGCCTCTGGCACATGGCCTCCACGCACTCAGTGAAGGCCCCATGGGGAAAAACTGGCTGGTGGGTGATAGCTCACTGTGAATGGGGCTCACTACTTGGGATTCTAAGCCTGTATGCTAACCCTTGTCTGTTAAAAGATGGTTTAAGGGGCACCTAGGTGGCACAGTTGGTTAAGCAGCAGACTCTTGGTTTCGGCGAAGGTCGTGATCTCAGGGTCTTGGGGTCCAGCCACGCGTCTGGCTCAGCAGTCTGCTTCAGGATTCTCTCTCTCCCTCTGCACCCCCCCCCCAGCTTGCTTATTCTCTCTCTCAAATAAATAAATAAATCTTAAAAAAAAAAAAACTATTGGCTTAAGAGCCTGGCTCTTTTTTTTCTATCCCCTTCTATGACCTGGTTGTTCCTCTTCTGCTACAGACCCAGGGATTAATAGCAGTCATGGGTCTCTTCTCTTATAGGAAGGGCTTGCCCATTTCTAGACTTAGGATCGTTTAGACTTCTTGGCATCCTCAGCTCACTGATGAGTTATTACAAATTACTGATTTTGCATCTTACTCAGTTACTTTTCCTAACTGAAAGCAAAAGATTTTGCCTCTTGTTCCTTTAAAAAAAACTGTTTACTACATATTCTTATCAGTTAATAAAATACTAAAACTTTTTATAGAAAATATTTGGGGGTGCCTTGGTGGCTCAGTCAGTTAAGGGTCAGATTATTGGTCTCAGCTCAGGTCTTGATCTCAGGGTCACAAGTTCAGGCCCCATGTTGGGCTCCATGCTGGGTGTAGAGTCTACTGGAAAGAAGAAAGAAAGAAAAGAAAAGAGAAAATATTTGGATAATGTGTGAAACACAAAAGCGGGGGAGGATCTCCTGAATTCCTATCAACCAAAAAGAAACACTGTATTTCATGTATTTCTTTTCATTCTATCTCTATGCAGCATTTTCTATTGTTTTGAGCGTCTACATTCCCAATTTACATACAACTTTATTACCTGATTTTTTTTTCTGTTAACTGTATAACAAAGGAATTTTCTAAGGCCACAAACTCTTTACAAAAAACATTTATATGAGTTTATTTAACCTTCTCTGGAAGGTTCTTCACTGGAAACTTAAATTCTTCAGAATAAACTTAAATTCTTCAGAATATTCACTATAAAAATCCATGGTCCAAAGAACATTTTGTCCACTCAATTCCCAACAATCCAAATCCTTATACTTGAATCTTAGAAGTAACTTTATAAGATCAAAGGATATGACCGCTTTGAAGTTTTTTAAACACATATTGCTAAATTGCTTTGCAGAAGTTCATTTAACCTTTAAACATGAGATGGATTATATGGTAATTTCTACAGTATGCTGCTGTTTTAAATATAATACTCTAACGAATTTAATAACCTTATGGCCTATCAGAAGAGTTCTTTCCCATCTTTTTACTAAGAGTAACTGTCTCCTATAAAGAACTTATCAAACTCAAAACCCAAAGAACAAATAATCCAATCAAGAAATGGGCAGAAGACTAAACAGACATTTCTGCAAAGAAGACATCCAAATGGCCAACAGACACATGAAAAAGTGCTCAACATCACTTGGCATCAGGGAAATACAAATCAAAACCTCAATGAGATACCACCTCACACCAGTCAGAATGGCTAAAATTAATAAGTCAGGAAATGACAGATGTTGGTGAGGATGCAGAGAAAGGAGAACCCTCCTACACTGTTGGTGGGAATGCAAGCTGGTGCAGCCACTCTGGAAAACAGTATGGAGGTTCCTCAACATTTGAAAATAGAGCTACCCTATGACCCAGCAATTGCACAACAAGGTATTTATCCAAAGGATATAAACACTATATAGTGATTTGAAGGGGCACATGCACCCCAGTGTTTATAGCAGAAATGTCCACAACAGACAAACTATGGAAAGAGCCCAGATGTCCATCGACAGATGAATAGATAAAGAAGATGTGGCGTATATACACAATGGAATATTACTCAGCCATCAAAAAGAATGAAATCTTGCCATTTGCAGTGATATGGATGGAACTAGAAGATATTATGCTAAGTGAAATAAGTCAATCAGAGAAAGACAATTATCATATGATCTCACTGATATGTGAAATTTAAGAAACAAGGCAGAGGATCATAAAGAAAGAAAAGAAAAAATGAAACAAGATGAAACCAGAGAGGGAGACAAATCCTAAGAGACTCTTAATCTTAGGAAACAAACTCAGGGTTGCTGGAGGGGAGGAGGACTGGGGGGATGGGGTAACTGGGTGATGGACATTGGGAAGGGTATGTGTTGTAATGAGCACTGGGTATTATATAAGACTGATGAATCACAGAACTGTACCCATGAAACTAATAATATATGTTAATTTAAAAAATAATAATAAAATATGAAAGCTGAAAAATAAGTAAATAAAAGTAACTGTCTCATTTTGTCAAACCAACAATAAGGAAATTATTTAAGGAACAAGACAATAGATGTTTAAAAAATCTTAGTCTTATTTCCCCCCAATAAAAATGTTTATTCTCAATGCAAACTTTTTTTGTTTTTTTTACTTCTTGTTGCTTTTATAAAAACTTTCATTACTGGGTGCCTGGGTGGCTCAGTCACTTAAGCATCTGCCTTTGGCTCAGGTCATGCTCCCGGGGTCCTGGGATCAAGCCCCAAAAGGGGGATTTCCCCGCTCAGCAAGCAGTCTGCTTTTCCCTCTGCTTCTGCTCTCTCTCTCAAATAAATAAATTTTTTAAATCTTAAGAAAGTCCTGATTAGGGGCGCCTGGGTGGCTCAGTCATTAAGCGTCTGCCTTCAGCTCAGGTTGTGATCCCGGGGTCCTGGGATCGAG